AATCAGAACTTTTCAACCGTCGAACTTTTTTTACTTTTCTCCTTTTTTTCACAAACTTACCCGCAAAAAAATCCAGGAACTTGCAAATCTGAATAAGCTTACATGATGTTCATCATGAGCTCAATTGATTGAATCCAAATTGTTTTAAATTCACCGAGAAAATGTTGATCAACATCTAAAGAAAAAGAAAAAGAAAAAGAAAAGAAAAAGATAAACATGAAGAACCCAAAATTTGATATAATTAAAACTCATTGATTGATTATCTCAATTGTTTACCAAACCAACTAATTGATCAGTTAATTAACATACAAACATACGGATAAAACGAGCAATCAAGTGAATCAGTAAATTGTTACATTGAAACATGTTAATTGGTGATTATTTTTAGTTTCATGGGGAAAAAAGGTCACACAGATTGAAAATAAGAAAGAGAGAGAGAGAGAGAGAGAGAGAGAGATGAAAACGAGATAAATATGATCATCTATTAGGATTTAATGATTAGTTTCAATTGATTTCATGACAGATATTTGAAATTGGTGTGATTCCTAAATTAAGAAATAATAACTATCAAGTTAAATAAAATCATCAACTGATGATACAATTTGTGCTAAATTATATTATCAAATGTTGTGCTGGGAGTTAATTTGTAGGTTAACTTAGTTTGATGATAGTTTTTGATTTCATGATGGTGATGATGATGAGGATGATAAGTATTATATATCTTTGCCTGGTCCCTTATCATCAGCATCATCATGATAATGAAATTGCCTTGGGTTAGATTAAAATGATTACTTTAACAATTTAGTTAATCATTTTACTTTTTTCCCTTATCAACAAATTATTTCAACTAATTTCATATTATTATCATAATTGAACTTTCCCTGTATATTAATAGATATATTATCAAGGTAGGAATATTTTTTTTTCTTCTTTTTCTATCCAATAATCAAATTAATCATTTTCATGATGATAAGAGTATTTTCATTTTAATTGTAACGAAATAATTTCCATATAAACTTGTAATTGTTACGAATGGACAATTGTAATAAAGTTCCAATAATTTAATAAATCAGAAAGTCTTTACTTTTTTTTTCAAAATATTATGATAATAATGAATAATTTAATTATATAAAAAGTGAATCAAAATTGATTGAAATCAAATGACATGTTGATTAAAAAGTGAAAGTGTTGAAAAAATTGTTACATTTTCCTCTATGATTATAAACGATAAATTTTAATGGTTTTTCCTTCAGATTGTGAATCATGAATGAAAAGTAATAGGAAAAAATGATATTCAACATTAGGTTGATACCTTTTTCTTTGAAAATGATTAAATTGTAACAAATTGTAAAAATACATTGACAAGTTAATTTATCAATCATAATCTACAACTAGGAGGTTATCGTCATGATATTTCATGTTGATAACCGTTTGATTCATTGAGCCAATAAGATAATCAGTAATAACCTTCAATAAATGAACAAATTGAAATCGATATCATTAATTGTTACCAAAAACTGAGAGAGAGAGAGAGAGAGAGAGAGAGAGAGAGAATATAGATAGTTTTGATGCTGAAGATGATGAAGAGGAAAAACAAGAATCCTTTTTGATGATAATAATGAAAATCTAGAGAGAGAATGAAAATTGATAACTGAGTTTTGTATTATGATGGAAATATTAATATCTTCCTGATTGTGTATACCTCTGAATACCCATGATGTAAGGATAAAGGTAAGATGATGATCATGATGATGGGAATGAAAAAATCTAATAACACACAGAGAAATATAATTGAATGTATTTATAAATTGATTCAAAGGCAAATCCTCACAATTCTGTACAATTGACAAACGTGTTATCATGAATGTTGACAGGAAAGTGATGAACAAGAAAAAAAAGACTCAGAAAATATGGTGAAAATTCAGTGTTGAAATGAATCAGATTCAAATAATGATGTTTAAAAAGATGCAGCTCATTGATTAGAATCGGTTTTATATCATCAGCCATATTGGTTTTCAGTTGATGCTGAGGCTGCTTTTGTTGTTGTTGTTGCAGATATTGGAATTATTCAGTTTAATCTTCATGCTAAGGCCTTGAGGGTATTATATTAACCAGAATGGATACAGAATGATGATGATGTATTTATATAATCACTTTGTCTTGCTGACAATATGATATGAGAGACTTAAACAGTGAGTGGGTTGGATGGTCATTTCCTTTATCAAATAACATTTATAATCTCATTGCATGTCATTGGGATTCATTTAGTTTCATACATACATCTTGCTCATCATGAATTACAGGTATCATCAACTCAATACAAATAATACCTGTGATTGAAAATAAAATGTCCCGATAATATATTTTGGTCTATGTATCAAGTCCGTAGGATGAAAACCCATGAGAATCTCATCAGCTTAAAGGTATTCAACTGGTGACAGAATTGATGACAAAAGATTAAGTTATCGTTCTTGTATATCATCATTATATCAATGATCCTCATCCAAATCATCACTCACAATATCATCAGAATCCTTTTAAAAGGATATAGACATTGAATGGGAAATTGATAACAATGAGCAAAAAAAAACTGCCAACAAATCAAATTGTCAATTCATTTCCCATATCAAACCATGATAATCATTTAATCATAAACTGAGTAAAAATAGGAAAATGGGAAATTTATATTGATAATAATATTCACCAATCATGGTGATTACGGTGAGCTTGTTATAATCATGATTAAATATTCACATAGATTAACAATTACTTGTTAACTTGTTAAATTACTTCATCGCAACTACTATAAACATGATGTTTATATTAATTTGACCCAATTTTGAATAAAAAAAACGACATGAAATTTAATTATCAACTACGATTCAAGTGAGTCCCTGAAGATGAGTTAATCAGATGATTAATATCAGTCAATCAGGAAATCAAGAGAAAGAGAGAAATGAGAAAGTTAGAATATTTATTTCTCTCGAAATTAATAACTCGATCGATTAATCGTCCAAGTCAATTTGATGGAACTAAAAAAAGAAAAGTTCTGAGTAGTTCTGAATCAATTTATTGATTGAGATTGAAATTTTATAAACAATAACAATAAAATCTTTGTTTGATTAAGCCAGATGAAGATGATGAACAGGATGAATAATAAAAAATAAAGATTAACATGAATCTTATTGAAAAAAAGTATAAAAAACTAAACTCATTCTCATTTAACATTTTACAACATGAAACGATTTGATTATCACAATCATCACTTTAATCATCATGATGATTATCATGAAGATGCTCAAACCATTGAGAATGTAAATGTTATTAACTTACAGTTGAGAAAAGATGATGAAAAGGACGTGGAAGGAAGAGAGATGATGATGGAGAGATGAACAAGGGAGAAGGACGAAAAAGGTTCCGATAGGAAGACAAGAGGAAGATGAAGAAAAAAAAATTGAAACATTTTTCATTGTTCCTATTATAGTAATAATAATATGATTTAATGTTCGTTTGATAATGTATCTTTTTATTGTTATTTTATCATGACTGTTCATCATTCCCATGAATTCATGGTACTATTACTAATACGTTCAACAACAACAATAATGATAATGGTAACAATGAGAAGATCGTTGAAACTTAATCAACCAATTCGTTAGGACACAAAGAAACGTCAAAGTGGGTGAGATACAGAGGTAAGTATGAAGGCGGAAAAATGATATACATGTGATTAAATGAATTCTGAATAAATAAATAATAATAATACAACTATTAGAATAAGAATTATTTTAGATTCAGTTCTTCTTTTTATTCATTCTCTTCTTCTTCTTATTTTAACGATGATTACCACAAAGAGAATGATTCAGAATCATCATGGAAACATTACCATGCAGATATTCAGATGTAAAACATTAAAGATTATTCAATTTGTGTGTTTATGTTTTCACCCTTGAGTATGAGTAGTTTCAAGTAGTGAAGCTGAAAAGTATAATCGGTTGAAATTGAGATTCATGATGAAGATGAGGATCATCATCATGAGAAATTCTGATGATGAGAAAATTCAATCAAGATTCTTTTTCATCAGGAGATTAATAACAAACTCAAGAATCAATTAATCAATTTTCAATCATCAGTCATTCAAGGTTCTTTTTTTCAGAATCAAACCTGGGGCTGGGTAAGATTGTATAAGATGAATATTTAAACATCTTGGTGACAATTAAATCGCGATGAGGAAATTTCATCATGAGGAGGAGATACTTCATTCTCAATGTTACTCTTTGATGAACACAAATCATTTGACAAATGGGTTTAATACTCAAAACAACCATGATTGTCAACCATTGCATCAAATGAAATATCATGAAGACAGTAAATGTAAGTGTTGGATAAAAATAACGATTGAACGAAATGATAATGATTGTAAATTGCTAAGACTAATAGACAATAAAGATAATTTGATTAACTACCAATTGTTTTCGTGATAATAATCAAGAGAGAGAGAGAGAACGAAATTGAAATTAAATTGGTTAGAATAATTTTTTTCTTCAGTAATAGTGTAACTTTAATTGTTTCGATGTTAATGATAATTAATCGAGCTCATGATAAAAAGAAAGGATTTTTCAATTTTTCAATACACTTGGTTATCAAATTAAGCCACACCAATAAGATAGCTAAATCAGTTGAGTCCAAAGCCGAAACTTAGCAAGTTGAACAGATTAATTAATTTGGTTGATTTAATTATTGAAAGCATTGTAATTGTCAATATCAGTCCAAATCCTGGACCTGGAAAACTGAACAGATTTAATTATTGGAAGCATTTGAAGCATTGTAATTGTCAATATCAAGTAATCGCTTTTTGATACTGGATTTGATTCTTCTACGTTTTGTAGTTTTTTCGATAAGATCACACTGTTTGTTGTAAGCTGTAAAGGCTGAATCACGAGACCACTGAAAATCATCTCTTTCTTGGATAAGATTCAACAATACGGCTAACAATGACCAATCAATGAGAATTGGTAGTTCTCGCCTGTAAATACCTTCAACAAGATATTTTTGATCTGCATTCAGTTCAGGTAAACTTGGTTCTTGTTCAACATGACGCTCTAATTGTAAGTTCTCAACACTGGTGGTTAGATTGTCAAGTAGCTTTTGAGCCTCGCCTGTGGGCTGATCGAT